GTATGTCGGAAGCTATGCGATTCCATGCTACAGTAGTAAAAGGGGAAAACAGGTTTTTGGTAATGTCTTATCTATATTGGGAGTACTACATAACTATTTTTAACTTATAATCCGATATTTGACCCGGCAGACGACATTTTAGCGGATTGATAGGACATTTTAGCGAAAAATCGGACGTTTTAGCGCCAAATTATAACCCATTTTAGCGCAAGATTTTTAACCCATTTTAACGAAAAGTGAAACTATCAATGCCCATTTTAGCGCAAGACTTCTAACATGTCTAACCCATTTTAACGAAAAGTGAAATTATCAATGTCAATTTTAGCGACAGAAATGATGAATATCGAATGATAAATTTTAATAAAATCAAGACGGTACAATATAAACGATATTATGTTCCTTAAAATACAGCAATAATAGTCTTAAAAACTAATTCAAATGTTTAATTGTAAATATATGTACCAATGAACGCACGTGGCGGACTCGTGATATACCCCTTGTACCAGGTTGTTCATAAAATTGCGATAGGAACTGTTCCTTCACTTATTCTTTTTATTTATTATATATCTTTATTTTTCTGTCATTATATCTATGGTAAAATATGTACACAGGCTTAACAAATTGGACGATGGGTTACTTTATGATGCTTATGTTTGTAATAAAATTTTAGATGCAGGAAACATTAATTGTTGGTATTCATCTATGAGATATGTCCTTCAATCACTTGATATACAAAATTTGAATACAAAGCTCAATAGATTAATTAAATTTGTAAAATGTAAACTTTGTAACAGTTTTAAAACATTTTGGGGGGTCAAAAGATCTGATACCTTATCACAAGGTAATAGTAAATTAGAAAATTATTTCAACCTCAAGACTGACTTCGTAAAGGAGGCTTATTTATCAATTAAAGATTTTAATATAAGAAGAGCTATATGTAAATTGAGAATAAGTGCACATGATCTTAAAATTGAGAAAGATAGGTATAGTAAAAAATACATAGAGAGAAGTCAGCGTCTATGTCATCACTGCCTATCACATGGATCAAATTCTATTGAAGATGAGACCCATTTCACAGTAAGTTGTCCTTTATATAACGAACAGAGAAGATTATTATGGGATAAAGTAAACAGTTTTTGTAATAATTTTAAAGAATTACCCAAGGATAAAAAATATTTCTGGCTGTTCACAAATGAGCATTTACCAACTCTTATGTGCCTAGGCAATTATATAATTAAGTGTTTAGAAATAAGATCCAGGTGGATACAAAATATATAAAATTATTATGCAATTATTGTTAATGTTATGTAAGACACATGATGTGTTAGGCTCTGATCCTGTCCAATATATGATAGTATTATATTAGGATATAGTTTTTCTTTTTTCCAATCATATTGTGCTTAATATTGTTGTAAATGATGCCCTTTATGGGTTCTTGATTAGATTAATAAAAATTCTTATTCTTTAATAACCTGAAAAGCAGATTCTTCCATACTTCTTGATATATGTTGTTGTTTGTAATTTGATAGTTTCTAGGGGTAACTTAATCCCTCACATGTCGCATTCTTCCCTCTGTTTGTTTCAACAACATTTATTTCCATTGACTAACCAAATTTTAAATGCCAAAAAACTTAAACATATATTTTTATTTAACGCAGCAAAAATTACTGTTCACGGTTTTAGTATGGTCATCAGAATTTCATTCAACCAAGTAAATTTTTGTCTATAATACAGGAAAACGGATTAATCCTGCGCTAAAATGGGCTATCTAGAATACAGGTAAACGGATTAATCCTGCGCTAAAATGGGCTATCTACAATACAGGTAAACGATTAATCCTGCGCTAAAATGGGCTATCTAGAATACAGGTAAACGGATTAACCCTGCGCTAAAATGGGCTATCTAGAATACAGGTAAACGGATAAATCCTGCGCTAAAATGTCCCCTAGTAGTTTAAATTTTTTCGCTAAAATGTCCTGCGCCCATTTGACCATCGAGTTAAATCACAAAGGTAATTAGGGCCAGTCTATCTGTGTAAGGAAAAGAACATAGTAAGCTTACTAGAACTTCTTCTGTATGCTAGTAGTTCAGAAATAAATAGCTTCATATTTACTAGTTTCCCTGCCTCCAACTTAATCTGTGATAAATTATCAGAAGCTTGTTTAGGACAACCACCCCATAACACGAATGCATATCCCATGATTGGTAAAATACATGTCAAGTATATACGAGTAAGACCATTTCTAGTATATGCATGGAATTTACCATTACTATCAAAAGGGATTCCCAAGTGTTTGTGAGAGGAGACAATTTTAATCTTAAATTCAATATCATCTTGGAGATTGTTACTTGAGAAAATCATAGCTTATGTCTTACCATAAGCTATAATTCAATCAAAATGAGAATTACAAGCCCGGTCACAATGAATATATAGTTATCCAAATGTAAACTAAGGATAATCGACTCATTCTCAAACTCCATCATATGGTATATAAGATATAGTATAACGTTATTGCATCTGCTAATGCAAGTCAATTTACAAAGCAGGCACACGAGAACTAACCTTACAACACAATATTAATACGAATATTATAAATTTTCAAAAAATATGTGTGTAGAAATAATCATTTTCCACACTTTGTTCCATTTATACAAGGAACTTTATTCACACAATTATAATGTCGTTATGTCAGATTAGTCTTATATATAAAATACATATGACATTAGGTATATTTTTACATTCAGAAACACTATGGCATCTCCTCAATCATCGTCAATTTACCATGACGGTAGTACTAAATCCGAGGAACTGATTCTATACATACATGACATAGAATGGTAGATGACGGATGAGAAACACTGTCGGCAATAAACGTATCTACCCTTTTGGTATTTGGCTGAATTTTGTCTCCGAATGACCTTAAATCTGTCTCCGAATAACCTTCTGACGTCAAGCAACAATAACTTTTTTAATTTTGACGTCAAATTTTTGAAATTGTGATGTCAGATTTTACGGAAACTTGTGTGATTTTAAGTAATGACAAATTAGCATACAAGTGTAAATACTAGTAGTCTATAGGGCTTATAATGATAGGTATAATACTATGTTACATATTTTTAAACTTTTTTCCCTAGGAAACAGTTCGCGATTTCAAAATTATACAATAAAGCGATAAAAAGATGATGCAAAGATACAAAGAGGCCGTAAAAACCATGACAAAAATACAAACAGACTGTTCACAATAATAAAAAATCACTACAAATAAAAAAAATGGACTGAGCAACACGAACCGAACCAAAAATAAGGAAAACTCATGTGCTCTGGAAGGGTACGCAGTTTCTGTTTCGCTAGAGGCACCCGTTATCATGTTGCTCATGACAAGAAAAATGGCAATGGTAAGTCGAATGCGGTGATGTTATAATCCAGGAAACGATGACGGGCTATTCAATAACGGTCAACCATATCCATTTCCAACCGATTTTTACAGTTTGTTCTTATGTTGTGCTGTTACACCACTCTCCAAGATTACGGTACTGTTCGGTATAAGTTTTGATCATTGTTGAATGCCGTACTGTAACCTACGGTTGCTTACATGCACATCATTTGGACTTTGGGGATAGTTGTCTCATTGACAATCATACATTTTTGTAGCATATCACCTTAATTGTATATAGTGTTGTTATTTTCAAGCTATTCATTTACTAGCAAAACAGTTATCAGTTTCAAATGTTGTTTTTTTAATGTTATCTATATAAACTCAAAGCCAAGATGTATACTGGGTGTTAGAACTATTGCTACACCGGATTCTCTCGTTTATAAATTGGACAGTTAAAAGATAATTGAACTGCACAGATTTCTCTCACTGAAAACCACACATTCTTATAAATAAAATGAACAGAAAAGTCATTATGATTTTTTTCACATCCACTAACACTCATTCGATTTCAGTTTCTTTACAACTTTAAAACATATGGTATAGTTTCAGCTGCTATATACATGATATAGTCGTTCTGAAACACATTTAGACTTGTGTCTATACATTATCATTATCACAAACAATTGGTCCACAAATAGACGATATGACTAATTACCGACAGTGGAAGCTGCATTATTTGTAGATACAGAAATGATACATAGCTTAACAAAAATCTACAAGACATTAATCATATGTTAATAAAACAACCGTAAAGTAATGGTATTGTCAACTCTACAGGTATACTAGAGAAAACAATTAGATATTGATTATACAGAAGCAATCATTTTCAAACCGTTTGATGTATTGACATTTACGAAAATCACCTTGCAGAAATTAATTATTTTGATCGTGATGATCAGATGTTGATAGCATCTTGCTGTGAAATTCATGGCGTTTTGCAATAAAAAAGATAATTTCACAGGTAGCAAATAAATAGAATTTCTTCAACACTGTTAATATTAGGTTGCAGATAAAAATAATATTTATTTAATCATTATTCATATAAGAAGTATATACATATTCCTCTGAAATGAGAACTTTTCCCAACAGTATTTGGAACATGCCGGAAAAGATAAAATGAAACATTCTATTGAAAAGAGTTTCTGTGATTTTTTTCATTTAAAAAAATCCATTTAATGCATTTAAAATACTGCATATAAGCTGTGAAGTTGTGACACATATACCATGTATACAGTAAATTCGACTCACAATCCACATTACAATGAATAATGGAAAGCCTAGTCCATTATTCCTGATTATTATTATTATTATTATTATTATTATTATTATTATTATTATTATTATTAATAATTTGGCATACGAAACAATGTATCTTTATGATTAACTCATTTTATTTTATGTGTTTATGTCAAAATAATCAAATACATTTTTGTAATTAAAGAATCCGAGAAATTCAAAACTGAACACTAATTCGCTGGACATTTAAATTTGAGATAAAGGTAGACCACTTTAAGATGAAATATAAAGTTTTGAACAGGCACACAAAAATGTTAAGGTACTTACGTTACGTTGTTGTTCAAGGGAATTGGCAAATTGATAGCTGTAGGAAGAGTTGACACAATAGAACACAGATAAAATAAATACAAATATCCATGCCATCCTAAGTTCATTCCCTTGGAAAGATAATAATTCCAGAAAGTTACATAATGTTTTAAACTTTTTTAGTGATTTTTGTATTTGCAGCGATTATCACGTGTACTCCAGTCGCTTTGTGTGATTTTGCGTTTTGCAACACATGTTTTCAATAATTCGTTTTTTTTTGCACAATCACAAGACTTGCTTACTTAATCCCATTACTTTAAATTTTGGATTTTTTTTAACAATTCCTTTGTAATTATATTCTAAGAGAGCTGCAAATCACATTACATTTTACTTGGCGTCAAGTTAAAAAATCAAGACTTTTTCCTCAGGTCCATATGTATAAAACATTTAGTATTTAAATCGACCAATCAAACACATGCTTTAAAATCCATCATTATCAAGATTTTACGGTTCCATTGAAGCTGTCTCTGTAAAATCATCACGATAGACTTCAAATGAACTTCTGTCAACACACGTGTCGATTACTAAATACAAATGCATAAACTTATACGCTGATTGTAATCAGTAGTTCCGACTACTATCGCAGAGGAAGTTATGAAGCATACTTGTAACGTATTTAGTTACTCACAGTACTTCACAATTACAGGAAATGCTTGATGAGAAGCGAAAAGAAAGTTTTGATATATTTATTGTACGTAGATGTTAATGAGAGGAAACAACATCTTCTCAAGTCAAATTATGTAATTTTACGGACTGAGAATTTATACATCTTGACAAAATTTCGTTAGCTTGATTTTATCATACTTTCTCACGACAAAACATTTGTTGTTTTATTACCCTAATTTGTGTTCTTTAAGCTTAAAAGCACAACTTGTTTATTACTGACGCTATTATTTCTGACTTCTTGCATTCGAAACCTCAACAAATGCTCATTAACTCATTTTCATACATATGGCAGGGTCCTGTTTTGCCGCATGTGAAACCAAACAATCATTTAGTAAGAATGATTTTTTAAAAGTTTCATTAGAATCAATAATTTACGGAGGAGTTGCGGATACAAAAAACGGATGACGACAGCGTCTGCACATGATTGTTAATCATCACAAATGCATTATTGCAATTGTTTTTCATTAAAATTTTGCCGAATTCAGAGGGAAAACGAAATATATCACATAGATATGTAAAGTGCACCGAAATTTTCTCTCGTTCTTTCTTTTACAATGGTATTTTACTCAATTTAACTTTTGTTTCATGTTCAAAAGTTCGGTTTTAAATCATTGGTTTCTTTTATACATGAACAGTAATTTTGTTTCAACAACAGTTTTATCTATGAAATGAAACTTTTGTCAGACTTCTTAAAATATGATGTTTTGACTACACGTGTTCTCTCCGCGACATAGCTCATGTGTTCTGATGCCCATTAATTAATTAATAAATTATTATGTTTTGGTTTTTTTTTTTCAAGAAATAAACAACAAATTTAGTTTATGAATATGTTTAACATAAAACTCTTCATTTGTAATATGTGCGTTGCTTAGGAACAATAAGGACAGCTCAAATGTAGATTGTTTTGTCAAGTTCAGTCCGTTTGTCTTTTCGGATACTAAGATTCTGGTCTGATAAAGTCAGAACTAAGGCGCGTGTTTGGAAAAATTCACGACATAGAAGATGAAAACCACCGGAGGGGTGCATAAGTGTGACTTGTACATTTTTTTTCACCACCTCCGACTATAACTTCGATATCCGGTAGCAGCTATCCTGTTTCTTGGCCCATTCAATTGTATATGCAACCATTCTTGATATAATGTGACATGATCTCAATGTCTTTTATGCTGTTTCTGTTGTAGGGTTAATGTCTTAGTGACGTATACCACGGGTCTCTTTTTCTTCATGTTCCCTTTCTAAATATTAAAGAATAGACCCTTATAAATGCAAAAGATAATACCAATCACACAGTAATAGTCTCTTCCAGTGCGACAGGAAGAGTTGTTACGGATTTATGAATGCATAGTCGGTCGAAAAGTGAACGTTAACCTGTGCTGTGGGAGTAAAATAACAAGCTTTTTAAAAGACTGTCATAAATTGAAAGAAGATAAATATAGGAACTAAAAAAGCAGAACATGGACTATGTGCTTGTTTTCGAGATGCAAGCCATTGGAAATTTGGCGGGAAGTGATTCTCTCTAGATTTTTTTATACATTTAACATTGGCACCTTGTTTTATTCACACTAGGAAAAAATAACAAGGATTTTAAAAGATTTTCAAATATGGCTTGTTAAGCTATATATAATAAAATTATGAAAAGAAAAGTAGGGGTTAGCGGGCAAATTTTTTTAATGGCACTACATGGATAAAAACAGAGGATTCGGAATATCTGGCAAAATTTCAAAAGCTAGAGGAGCGAACATCCTTAAGTATTCTTGCAAAAACTCTTTAAGTTTTATCTTAATACATAAGTGATCGGCTGCAATACAAAAGCTTTTAAACAATTACTCTACCATGCTGATGTTTGACTTGTTTCAAGTTTTATAAAAGAAGGGAAATCTTTTTTTAACAGGTTACATTCCAAAAAGAGATCAAAATAGCTTTACCTTGCACTGCAACTAGTATACTAGACATGCTACATGTCCCTTCCTAATTTTCTTTTTTTTTCAATTTTACCCCATTAACAGTTTTACTGATATAACTAAGAGATTGTCATTATATTGACACCCGTAGAGGAAGGGCAATCAATGTACTGGGGCATTCAGTATCATGGCAATTTTCAGTAGACATATAATTTAGTAAGAAAATAATGAAAGAAAGGGAATATTCTCGAGGGAATATTGTAGCATGTCTCCTACTATACCTAACAGTCTATATAATTTCTGATTTTTAGATCTATCATCTTAACTTCTTTTTAATCCTTTGAAACATTATAAATACCTCTAGAAATCATTTGTTTTATCTAAAACTACAAATTAACTAATTTCTTATCAATCTTGAACCAAATCGTATCTGGCAGAAAGCCGTAAATCATACTGAATCAAAGAGTAGATACCACGTTACTTTTATGAGATAACAGTGAAGGCAATAATCCCATTTCATTTGAATTAAACACATCATAAAGTACGCTGACCCTTTTGTTTATTTTATATGCAGAGCAATCCTTCTTTACCTATATTAAATATCATAAGCAAACAAAGTCCGTGTTTGTTTAAAATTCTTATCTGATGCTGCGTTTAAAAAATATAAGGTTCTCAATTCAAGAAAAAAAGTTGCATGCACTTAATGCCTGCGGTTTTCAAATTGTACTTTCTGTATCTTCGAGTACATAAAACTTTCCTATTTCAATACCATACCTGGTTGAACCATGTATAGTATTGGTATTATCAGACGTTCATTGACTTTTGTGAAATTTATCTAAGAATTTGCAGTGATATACCTACTTTTTAATGATTAAACTTTGTCCACTTATCACTTTTGTTTTTCAATAATATCGGTTCGAAATGTAACTGTTGAAACAGAATATATGATATCAGAATATGTATTAAGATACCCTTTATACAAGGAACCAAGAATGCATATAACTGCTGGACGATGAGATTTCATGATTAATTCTATCATTGCTATCCTTCTCAATTTGTCACTGTAGTGCATATTCATTTAAGTTTGAGCCATCATATCTTAAAAGCAAAATTACCACTTTCAAATTTGTATTTAGCTGGAATTCAAAATGCTGAGAATGAAATCAAATAAAAAGAATCCAATCCATAAAAAAATACCTTTATGTCATTTTTACCTGCATCGCTACCGGCGAAAGCAGGTCTAGTAACCGCTCCACTCAGTCCTTCCGTCCGTTTGCCCGAAAGACCTTGGGCTGAAAACTTTCGTTAAGCTTTTCTTGACTTCTATGGAAGGTAATGATTTTATATTTGGTCTTGAACTTGATAATATTGAATGTAGGCAATTTTTACATGAACCGTGCAGCAACTTTCTGTTTGCCGATAGTTTGAACTTTTACAACACTCATTGTACAAGAAAGGTTTCCGTCAAACCTTTCTTATATACTATGACGGGGAGTTATTATATATTTATCTGGAGCTTGATGATATTGACTTGCATAGGGTGTTAGCAATTTTTACATTTGGCTGTTCAGCCGCTTCCTTTTGTCAATAGTTTGCAATTTTACAACACTCACCGTGTACAAAGAAAATTTACGACAAACTTTTCTTGGCTTCTGTGGAAGGGAATGATCAGTTATGCTTCAGTATTCGTGTTAGATCAATCAGATCAATCAATTGCATACAGCGACGCAGTTCCATACCGGATATTGGTCTAGCTATTATTATAAAGGCAGAGACTTATAATGCTAATATTGATATAATTTATCTCTGGCGAAGGGTGAACATTGTGCTATTGATGGAGTATAAAACATTTCATGGTATTGAAGAACAAATAATGTAATTTTCAAATATTTTGAATGAATTCTCAGGTTTTATTACGGGTATTATTATTGTGGTAATTAAGAGTGTATACTACAACATTATAACTCATGTCATTCTAGAAGTTACTTTTCATTGAAATATATATTAACCACCATTTCAGTTAAAATCTTCTCTTTATGTTGACAAGATACATTGTCTAAAATATGTTCGTATTATTTCAATATAATTACATTATATGTATGTTTCATGAGAATCCGTTAATTTGATTGGCTAACAACAATCGCGTGTCATTCAAAAATTAAGATTCATATCAAAATGAAATGTTACATTCGTGATGACATGTGCTTCCACAAAAAAGTGCACAGGTAAATAAAAGAAAAACTTGACAAAACTTTTTTTTGATGGTCTTGGCATAAAAATATAATTATAAGAAACGAATGCTTCTTTTAGTAATTTGATAGGGTTGTAAAAGTGTTGATCGTGCACACATTTTTAGAATCAGAAGCTATTCTGCTTCAACACTTTTACACCCCATTAAATTACAAAAAGAAGCATTCATTTCTTAATTAAATATCGTATTTTAGAAGATTATTAGAACCACTACATATACTTTTTGTATGAATATCTATCAAAATAAGAGTGATATGTGAAAAAAAATTAACCTAGTTTATCCGATTATTTTTTCGAATCATATTAAAAATTCTTGTTTACCAAAAGATTCTAATTGAAATCTAATCGAATGTAAAATATCAGCAACTGAGATTCTTATGATTAGATTTTGGAATAAATATACGAGTAATAATGCCTGTGAATTTTGTATAAAATTATCATCCAACGCTAACAAAGAGTGGTGAATGTCTATGCATCCTATAATTTTTGTGTTAAATTTAATTTCTCGATCATGTACTTTCAAATTTAGATTTATTTCATAAGGTACATAATCCATGACTAAAAATAGACTGCAGTTGTTTATCGTCAATATTGTTGGTCTCCTTAAGGGCCGTCTCATTTCAATAATTTTGCATGGCTTAAATAGGGAATTGTTGCAAATCAGCAAGGAATTGTATATCTTCTCCTTTGTATACGAAAAAAAACGTTTATTTTTTGGTGAACCGAGAGTAATCGGTGATTGATCAAAGTAAGCAAATTATTCAGAGGTTACCAAAAAATTAAGAACGGCTGGTCTTTGTGGTAAATAATCGAAATAATGACGTTTTTTTTTTGTTTTTTGTTTTTTTTGTGGGGGGGGGGGGGGGGGGTGTCCGAACTCAGAAGGAGGGAATCCGGATTCACTCGGTCAGCGGGAAGATATAGGGGAAATGTTGCAAATCTGGAGGCCTTTTTGAGGACATGATATTTCAGCATGGAATTTTATAACTTCTTCTCCTTCTTTATACGGGAAAATATCAACTTGTTGGTTATCTAGAGGATTCAGTGTTAAAACAATGATGTAATTTAACAATCATTATGTCATGCCCTACAGATACTGGAATAAATAATAAAAAGAATATACAAAGAGTTCTTTGAATAGCTGCAGGTGTGTAAGACTAGAATTCCAAACATTCTGAAGAGTAGGCTTGTCAGTTTTGATACTGTTGAATAGGAACAAATGATGCACGTAACGACAGTTTTATTGGTTAATTGGTGCACATGATATTAATAGTTAATGTTGTAAGAGTGTAAGCGCTTATAAGTGTCAAACATCGGATTTACGAGATATAAACAACATGCTGCACGAACGAACGATACACGTGTAAAAATGCTTCGGCCAATAAACGATCATCGTAAACAAATTCTTGGGACTTACCTTTGTTCACCCTAAACATTAACATTCTTTTGTGGTATTTCATAACAGGGGTAAGGGTATGAAAAGGCCCCTTATTACGGCCCATGGTATATGACAATAATAAAGTTAATAGTTATAAATCTATCAAAAATTATTTAACAAAAAATATCAAACTCCAAGGTAATTTCCAAAAGGGGAGAGTCCATAAAACTTGACAAAAACCAAAAGCTTGACAACATCAACGAACAACTGCCATATTTCTGCTGACTTGATACAGGCATTTTCCGAAGAAAATGGCAGGTAACAGTAAACCTGGTTTTATAGCTAGCTAAATATCCCGCTTGTATGACAGTAGTTCCGTTATATTGACAAATTTGGGTAACGTGACCGAATCAGAAACGCCCAAATCCAAAAACTTGAAAGCTAGATGCACGACTACCGAGTCAAGAGTTCAACGTTCAGAGGGAACATAATTGTTAGAATTGTACAAAGACAAATAAAGGTAAAACTGTAAAGTAGATAAAATGATACACAACGTCAGCATCTAGAATCTATAACTAAACACGATCCTGTGTTGTTTGTGAAGTAGACACTAAATATTTATCTATTAGATCTTGGTACTATCCGGTGAGCTTTTTGAGAAAAAGGACGAGACGTTCTTTAACCAAACTCTGACTCATTTGTTTTTTGCTCAGACACCGTTTTACAAAGTTTGAATTGCAGCTGCAAGATCTTGAATATCGTATGAGTTGAAAAATGTATATGGCATACGCGGGTGATGTTGGAATATTGCTGCAAAGTTGAGGAAGATTTATCATTTCAAAATTTAAATCGTCTCGTTTGTCATAGGTTCTGGTACTGAGATGACCACTGCAGTCAAATTCGAGGTAAACATGTTTACAAATGAGGCGGAAGAAGCTGTAACTGTGGTTTCTTTAATCTCTAGTTCAGGAGGATATATTAATGGGATCCAATCAGAAAAGTTTGGATTGTTAATGGAAAGACTTCATCGATATACCTGTATATATGTGAAAATAAATGATCTATAGCTTCTTTGGTCATGTTTTTTACAAATTCCTAAAGAAACTCCGACTCATATGAAAATAAAAAAAGTTTGGCAAGAAGAGGCGCATAGTTGGTTCTCAAAGGAATGCCGACAACCTGTGGGGAAAGTCTACCTCCATATTTATCAAATATGTTGACAATGAGAAACTCCATCATACTGAGTCCTTATTCTCCGGTGTAGCATGTTTTATCCTCTTGTTCATTTTTAACAAAATAATGCCGAAGTGTATCCCTATAAACAATAAAATTTTATCGTATGGTTCAATCATTCTTACAGTCTGTCAGATATGAGTATTTGTATTTTTGTTATTTTGTCTAACATATTTGTTATAGGTCTTTAAACTTCTTGTATTTCAGAAACAAATGTCACAAATGGCAAACATGAAAATTACTTTTTAGTTAATAATTTCAATGTGAATAACAGCATTAATCAAAAAATATTTTCCCACATGATCTCTCATACACAGGCAAATGTGCATACTATACTAACATTTTTTTAATAAAGGCTATTGCTCATATCTTATTTTACCAAAATAACCATTTTTTAGTCAAACAGGTATATAAGCACAAAAGAATAAATCGAAGTTCATATAAATCTAATAAAACCAGACTACACAATTTCCACAAACAAGACGACTAAGATGACAAACAACAATTACAAAACGCTATACGACAGAAAGCTAGGATGGAGCAACACGGACCCTACCAAAACGCTATACGACAGAAAGCTAGGATGGAGAAACACGGACCCTACCAAAACACTATACGACAGAAAGCTAGAATGGAGCAACACGGACCCTACCAAAACACTATACGACAGAAAGCTAGGATGGAGCAACACGGACCCTACCAAAACGCTATACGACAGAAAGCTAGGATGGAGCAACACGGACCCTAGCTACCAAAACACTATACGACAGAAAGCTAGGATGGAGCAACACGGACCCTACCAAAACGCTATACGACAGAAAGCTAGGATGGAGAAACACGGACCCTACCAAAACGCTATACGACAGAAAGCTATGATGGAGCAACACGGACCCTACCAAAACACTATACGACAGAAAGTTAGGATGGAGCAACACGGACCCTACCAAAACGCTATACGACAGAAAGCTAGGATGGAGCAACACGGACCCTACCAAAACGCTATACGACAGAAAGCTAGGATGGAGCAACACGGACCCTATACCAAAACACTATACGACAGAAAGCTAGGATGGAGCAACACGGACCCTACCAAAACACTATACGACAGAAAGCTAGGATGGAGCAACACGGACCCTACCAAAACGCTATACGACAGAAAGCTAGGATGGAGCAACACGGACCCTACCAAAACACTATACGACAGAAAGCTAGGATGGAGCAAAACGGACCCTACCAACACGCTATACGACAGAAAGCTAGGATGGAGAAACACGGACCCTACCAAAACGCTATACGACAGAAAGCTAGGATGGAGCAACACGGACCCTACCAAAACACTATACGACAGAAAGCTAGGATGGAGCAACACGGACCCTACCAAAACGCTATACGACAGAAAGCTAGGATGGAGCAACACGGACCCTACCAAAATGCTATACGACAGAAAGCTAGGATGGAGCAACACGGACCCTACCAAAACGCTATACGACAGAAAGCTAGGAATGAGCAACACGGACCCTACCAAAACGCTATACGACAGAAAGCTAGGATGGAGCAACACGGACCATACCAAAACACTATACGACAGAAAGCTAGGATGGAGCAACATGGACCCTACCAAAACGCTATACGACAGAAAGCTAGGATGGAGAAACACGGACCCTACCAAAACGCTATACGACAGAAAGCTAGGATGGAGCAACACGGACCCAACGCTATACGACAGAAAGCTAGGAGGGAGCAACACGGACCCTACCAAAACGCTATACGACAGAAAGCTAGGATGGAGCAACACGGACCCTACCACAACGCTATACGACAGAAAGCTAGGATGGAGCAACACGGACCCTACCAAAACGCTATACGACAGAAAGCTAGGATGGAGCAACACGGACCCTACCAAAACGCTATACTACAGAAAGCTAGGATGGAGCAACACGGACCCTACCAAAACGCTATACGACAGAAAGCTAGGATGGAGCAACACGGACCCTATCAAAACGCTATACGACAGAAAGCTAGGATGGAGTAACACGGACCCTACCAAAACCGGCGGTGAACTCGAGTACGTATTAGTCAATTATGGCATGAGTGATATCATATAAGATCCTGCACCAAATATATATGCCAGTATACTAAGTCAGGCTATCTTGGCCATGGACAGTTCGTTTTTGTTTGTATATCTGTGGTTTTTTTTTTCGAAAGAGACTGGTGCTGGTGGTTGATGTGGTTTGTTGTACTGCACTGCATTTTTTGGAGATTCCTTGTGCCCTTTTTTATTTATTATGATTCTGTCCACATATGACCAGATTAAATCATTCTATTTATTTATCAACAAATATTAAAGATTTAAAAGGTCTGGTGCAGAGTATCTCATTGGCAATCGTACCACACCTTCTTATTTTTATATTATAACCTGGGACAGTGGTTTAACAACATAAAAAAAACTGTAAAAATAAGTTGAGAATGGCTTGATTAATCAGATCCGCACGGAGCAAAAAAAAAATAACATAAAGACAAAAGACACAAAGTGTCGATCTAAGAGTACTTACAGTTACTAAAAACTGATTTAAAAATTAATCGGTATACATCCAACGCATCTGATGTCTAAAAAAAGTCTGGGAAAAGCATGACCTTGAGCAATACCTAAATATAAATCCATGATATCGACAGGATGTAGGACGATAAGTTTTCACATATTTTAGTTATGATTTAATTTATAAAATTTATAAATTCTTCATCTTATTTTAAATTGAACACTGGTAAAAGCAAACTACTGGGAGGTGGGAGATTATTCAACTGGTTAGATTTTTTTTCCTTCTTCAAATCAGAGACATATATACACATATGTATATAATGTCTCTGTTCAATTGACGGATAAATGCCTACAGAGTTTAACGTAAATAATTGATGTGGAGTTTTCATTAAAATAGTTTAGCTGTTTTCGGATAATACATATGCAATTTCAAAAGTATCAAAATTTGCATATTTTTATATACCTGAAAATATAACGTACTGGTTGAAGGGAGATAATTCAATTGGTTTAATTTTATTTTCAAATGTAAATAATTGATGTTGCGTCGAGACTATTATAAATAATTAAATCCATACTTGGGGCTAATTGGAAGAAAATATTAAACCATGAAGTATAATGATGATTTGTTTTTGTTCCGTGATAATTGTTTTTTTTTATTTCCAAATATTTTATAAATTTACTTTGTTTTAATCCGTACTATTGTGTTGTACACGATTCCAATTAACTACAAGTGTGTCTAAAAGTTGATTTGTGCGTCTAATATTATTCTCCACTCCTGATTCACTCGTTTGAATGTAATTTATAAATAAAGAGTATTAAGGGTAACAATGCGATATACGTCATGTATACATGTTAATGGTAACTAAAAATTAAATAATGACGTATAAGCGAATGTTTGCGTATACTGTGTGTGAAATTCATTGAAAATAGTAACTGATGCGGCATAAATTGTGAAGACACTTTTTCATGGGTATTCGCTATAATTAATAATACGTTTTACTGCCTTGCAGCCCCGATATCTGATAAAAATTTGAGCAAAAGCATCCTTTTACGATTTCAAATTTTTAAACAACAAAAATTAAGAAATATATTTAGGCACCACAAGCATATATCCTATAATATGCGAAAAGGGAAAAATAACATAAAAGAAAGATAAAATTTGAAACGAATAATGTGTAAGCAGTGTGATGGAATATTGAACCCCCAGAAATATGAAAGGGGAATAAGTGTATGTGGTCATGCAATGGCAACATTTATCCTATATTGTGACATATCAATGAACAATAATAATTGCAATAAAACTTAGTCAGTCATTGAATATGTTGCTATTTTAAAATTCAGTCCTATGAAATCGGTAAAACCGATTCAATAGTTTTAGAATTACTCATGGGATATTTCCAAATTATATCACTTATCTTATATTATAAAGATATTGATTTTGTACTGAGCAGCAATCTAAATCTAACTCAAATTGGATGGTACTTAGATACAATTTACAATTTTTAGATTAAAATCCATCTTTAATCTAATAAAAACGGGAAAATCGATCTTCAATCGTACTAAAAAAGTCCACTTCCAGAGGTGGTTCCAAAAAGATCGATCTCTTTTTAATCGATCTGTATTCAAGTGTAAACTCTAAGATCGATTGCGATCGATCTTTCTAAGAGTGAAATAATTATATTGATACGAAAATAAGTCTGTGCATGGTCTTATGAATGTCTGCCTATCGAGGTTTCATCCATACTCTCCAATAATTTGACAGAACGAGAGGATAAGACAAGTAAACAAATAAATATATTCCGAAGTTTTTGCATCATTCTTCTGACTAGATAAATCTTCAACCGATTTGAACTTTCCCTAACGGCCTTAGTGATAGTCTTCCCACATTTCTTGTTCAATGACTTGTGACATGCATATGAATCAAACAGATATTATAATGATTAATAACTGCATAAGTAATTCCAATGACCCAACTATTTCCTGATATATACATGTTGTCATATTCTATTTTCAAATTTTTTTGTTAACGAAATTTAAGGTAACTAGGTCAGACCGATTCTTTTTATTTTTCACTGTAAACACACCAGATTGAAAAAAGATCGATTGAGATCGATCTCGCTTATGCAAATGAAAACGCGAACTGGTCTTTTAAGATCGATTGAAATAACGATGGTTCAACTTCATGCAAGTGTATAATCGGAGTCTTATCAGTAGGCTTTGTGTCTAATAGAAGGTAACTCTTCTAACTAAAAAAATGCAAAGATATATCATTAAACTGTTTTGAAATGGCTTTCAGACATTTCTTTCTTGTTGGCTATTTCAATTATACTTTCCATAAAAAGAGTCAAATTTTAGTTGTATACATAGCTCATATCTTACACATATATATGTTTTTATATATTTTCCTAATTTGACATATTAAGTGTAACAGGAGATAGATCGATGGAAATTCTAAGTAAATAGTTCAATTCAATTCAATTCTTTATTAACCAGATGTTTTACAACATATAGGTATATGTATAATCAATATATACTAAATATAGATTACAAAAATATACGATCATGACAAAACAGACAGAAGTATTAAATACACAAAAAATTAATACATATAAATATAATTCCAAAAAGCAAATTTATGTAACAAATGAATTACAAATCAACTTACTGAAAACAGTCATTTCTGAGCTTCAGTGCTCTAAATATATATTTTCCTAAGTTGCACAAGTCTTTTACATTAGTAGTGCTTAATAATTGTAAAAGTTTATAAACAGATGGCTTACGCCAATAATATGGTTTTATCAAACATTCACGCAAATTTGAATATAAAGGACATGATAGTTGACAGGTTAAAGTATTGTCGCAGTGTTGAAAGTTAGAATGTGTATACGTGAAGCTGTTTTGTTTTAACACTGTTCTGATTGCCTCTTTAACCTTTTGAACTAATAAACGAAAGGTAACTTTATCTTGTTTATTCTAAGCGTTTATTACATTTATTTAGCCTTATCTTACCTTACCGTATCATAATGCAAGATTCTGTCAGTTCTAGTATATTGCATCAAACTGGCATATATTAGCATTGACAGTACTTTGTCGTATAATGCTGATGGTATAGGAATTCGGAATTTCCTAATTTTTAATTTTCTTTTGTTTTTTTTTGGGGGGGGGGGGGGGTCTTTTTATTGTGCTAACAATAAAGTTTTGAAATCTTATATGCATTTTTTCGGTTATTCAACAATGGAAGTAATACTTATAAATAGAACTAAATGTGCTTGAAGAGCATAAACCTGGAATTTTATTTTTGTCAACACTTAACCTTGGTTTTCATTTATAGTTTCTAGCAAAAGGCTTCATCATAAATTGATGTATAAAAATAATTGAATTTTGGAATAATAGGGCCTCATAAGTTAACTTTTCAAGAAGTTATTTCTCAAGTTTTTTTTTTAACGTACATGTGAAATAGGTCTTCATATATATTAATTAACTGAATTTCTTGAAATATTTTGCAATTCCTAAGTATTATTAAAAAGGAACAAAAATAAAAATGGTTCAAAGCTGTAGGTAGCTATTGGCTATTTGTATCTTTTATATTGTTGAATATTACATTTTCTTGAGACATATATTTCTGCCTTTTCTCGTGCATTTCATAAGAAAAATCGTGAGAGACATCTTTTTCCCTGTCAAAACTTATTTCAAAAACACACTGGCATGGACCTTATACCTGACTCATATCTCCTTTGACGTAATTTTAATTATCCATTGCAGAGACATATAATACATCGACTCATTTATAAAACTGTGTTTCATGATTTTAAATTTCAGCAGCTCACGTCCTTAATATTTAGATATTTAGTATAATTATAATAGTCCCAGGATAGTCTATCAAAAATGAGCTAGAATATTTAGAGAATTTTTAGGCTAAAAAAAAGAAGTATAATATAGAGGGGTCAATGCCCCAAGCACCTGAATCTTAGACTATCCGACCACTACTTGGAATGGACTTCTGCTATCATTAAAAAAGAGACATATAATACAATGTGTTATGAGGGTCTGGATGGGGGTCTATCGATGATTTCTGTAGTCTTTATTTTTTTAGGCCATTTTTCTCTACTGATTCTTTATACTTTTTCCCAGTATTTTCTATTCAGTGTATATTTTGGCACCTCATTATTGTCTATTCTTTACATTTTTTGCTCATTATTCTCTCTGTCTCTGATGAAAATAACCAAGGTGTGCATTTTTAGGGATACGAATAAAACTGGGACTATTATACTAGTTAACATGTTAGTATAAAGATAAAAAGATAAAAAGATAAATTTTTATTTCCAATAGAGGACCAATTATGGGCATAATCAGTACAGTGATTTTTATATTTAATAATTGCAATATAGACAATACACAAGAAAAACAACTCAAAACATGAAATATGAATTGAGTTAATAATAAAATATATGTAGTCATGTAAACTATTATGTTTAGTGTTTATTGACCATGCACCA